ACATCGGTTTTGACGGCAGATGCTTCTAGCTGAAAGAATTTCAGACTGGCCGCCAGAACTGTCAGGAAAAATCCCTCAAAATTCCAGTCTTCTAGCTTCTCACGTTCTCGAGTAACTAACTTACCCGGAAGGAACCTTTCACGGGCCTGTACGCAAGTACCACGCTTATCCGCGGGCAGGGTTTGAACTCATTAATATCCACTTAGACAGGGAACACCCCCCTAAGATTTCAGCTCTCTAGCTTCTCAAAACCCTGAGTTATGAATTTGCGCGGGAAAAATTTTGGAGAGCCCGTATGCGGGTACCACGCTTAGCCGGTGGCTGGATTTGAGCTCATTAGCACCTGCTTGGGCGGGGAACATTCCCCTAAAATTTCAGCTTTCTAGCATCTCAGAACCCCGAGTTATGTTTGCGCGGGAAAAATTTTGGGGGGCCCGTACGCGGGTAATACGCTTACCCGGGGGCTGGATTTGAGCTCATTAGCGCCTGCTTGGACGGGGAACATTCCTCTAAAATTTCAGCTTTCTGGCATTTCAGAACCCCGAGTTATGAATTTGCGCGGGAAAAATTTTGGGGGGCCCGTGCGCGGGTAATACGCCTAGGGGGCTGGATTTGAGTTCATTAGCACCGTTGGAACATTCCCCTAAAATTTTAGCTTTCTAGCATCTCAGGACCCCGAGTTGTGAATTCACGCGGGAAAAATTTTGGGAGGCTCGTACGCGGGTGCCACGAGTACTCGGGGGCTGGATTTGAGCGCATTAGTGCCTACTTGGACGGGGAACATTCGCATAAAATTTCAGCTCTCTAGATGTTGTGGGTCGCGAGTTAACAGCTTACCCGTAAAAAACTTTGGCGGGGTCTTACGGGGGTACCACGCGGAAAAGACCGCCCATTTTGAGAATAGGGGCCTGTACTTGCATGCCGATTAAGTTCCCAAAGTTTCAGCCCCGTAGCTTTTGCCGGCCTCGAGATGAAAAATCGGTACAAACGCGCAGCGCACACACAGACACACACACAAACACACACACACAGACGCATACACACACAGACACACGCACAGACAACCTCTCGTCAATATGCGTTTTTCGCATTGCACTGCTGCAAAAAACGCATAAAAAACGAAAAAAAACGGAAAAAAGGAAAATTAGAGCGGTTTTTCGGTCTGAGGCGATTATTTTTTTCAATTTAAATGGGATGAAAAGAATTGAGTAACCGAAATAACGGCCAGGATCGGTGTGCTTCTTATGAATAACTTGGCTACAAAAGCTGAATGCGATTTTCAAATAGGGACCCAAAATGAAATCCAAAAAAAAGAGTTGAAAATGAAATCTGACAAAATGGAATCCGAAAAAAAAGGATCGAGGAAGAGTAGCGAATAAAAGCGAAAGGGGAGGGAGGGAGGGGGGGGGGGGGGGGGGGGGGGGGGGGGG